GACTGTGGTTCAAGTTCCAGACCTGTGACTTAAAATTCACACCGGACCCATGTGTGTGCATACTCAAAATCCCAAGAGAAGAATGGAGGAGACGGGATTATGGCGTGGCCATTCCCCCAGGGGAGAATTTCTCGCTTTTGTCTCTCTGACAAGTACACACACCCTATAATAAAAATCTCTCTAAAAAAAAAAAAAATTTTATAAACCTAGTCATATACATTTAAAAAAAAGAACTATTTTATTTATTTATTATTATTTTTTAATTTGACCAGAGAGAGACAGAGATAGAAGGGGAAAGTGAAAAAACAAGCTGCCCGGTCCAGGCCAGTACTCAAACTGCAGTAGTCCACACGGAAGTCTAGCATCTTAACCACCATGCCACCTGCTGGCCTGCCAATCATATGCTTTGTATCCCTCCCAGCAATCATTCTGGCATTCTACCCAGAGAAGTGAAAATGACATCTACACAATAGGCTGTACATGAATATTCATAGCAGCTTTCTTTGGAGTGGTCAGGAACTGGAACAATCTATTTCCCAGTTAGGTGAATGGTTAAACCAGCTACAGTAAATCCATACTATGGAATACTACTCAGCAATAAGAAAGACTATATTAGTGATATAGTAAATGACTTGGAAAGCTCTCAAGAGCGTTGCGTGGAGGGGAAGAAGCCAATCTCAAAGGTCACCTACTATACAGCGCTGTGCAATAAAATTATAGCCACAGAAGTAGTTGTTTCCAGGGCTTTCTTTAGGAGGGGCTGGAGAGGTTTAGGACGATGTCGGGAGACTTTACAGGGGTGGCGTGAGGGAGCTCTCTGTGGCGATGGGACAGTCCAGCTCCGCATGGCAGCGGCGATCACACACATTGACATCTGTGAGAATATGGCACGGGAGCACAGACGTATCTTACTGATGTCAGCTTCCTAGTTTTGACATTGTATTACCAGGAGGCTTCAAAAAGTTCATGAAAAATGGAATTTAAATACAAGCTTATTTTGGTGCAAAGGAAATGGAAATTCATCCATCCTTTTTTATATTATGTATTTCCATGAACTTTCTTTTAAGGTTTTTACCATAGTACAAGTGCACTTGCTGGAGCAAGACGGAGAAAGAAGGAAAGTGAGAAAGCATTCCCCAAGAGTATGGCTGTGCTGCAAGCTCTTGTCCTCCATTCTCCTCTTGGGATTTTGCAACCATGGCATGATTAATTGCAGTCGGCCATGTGGGAGTAAAACGCTGTAACCACCACGCCACCTGCTGCCCCCTCCATGAACTTTTGGAAGACCCTTCTATATCTACAAAGATGTATCCAGTGGCAGAAGCTGGCGGGTGTGTACAGGAGATCTCTCTGAACTATCTTTGCAACTTCCTATGAGTCTACAATTACTACAAAATAAAAAAAGTAAAAAATGTGAATATTAATGTCAAAGACCTACAGTAAGCTCTCTTAGGCAAAGATCTCTAAGAGCAGACTGCCGA